ATTGCAATCAGAATAAAGTTATAAATACACTTTCTGATAAAAACCTTGCTGCAGTGATTCTTTCCAATAGAACAAACCCAGCCCAGGGATTTTAGTTAAAGGAACAAACAATACGTAGCGATTTCACCACTTTTGAATTGATTATGAAGAGATTTCAGCCAATGGATTACATCACTGGAAGGAGATTTTATGAGAAATAGGTATCAACATGTTGTGACGGAGAAGACGGATAATAGAATCCTGGCACCCACTGTATTTTATTGGGTAAACCGGAGGTGTGTGGTGGTGTGTGCCGAAAATGAGATCTATGGACTCAAAGACGCAACCCCCACGCACCTCATGGGAGGTGATTCCCATGATCTTAGCCAGTAGGCTGGAGCGCGGGATCACGTATCGTTTCCCTTTGTTATATCCTTTTGCGAATGAACAAATATCATCGCCAGATGACCTTGCCCCAATGAATCGACATCCTAGCACAAAAACAATAATTTGAAGGGTGATATAGGATACATTTTTCACCGATTTTTTTATATACGTTTTTTCGGTTTTTTTTATTTTCTTTTTTTTTAATTAATTAAAAAATTTATTTCTTTAATTATTTTTAAAATTATATAAAAAATAATTAAAAAATTATCTTAAAATATTTTTCATAATTTAATAAATTACAGTTAAGATTCTTAAACTACAATAATTTAATAAATTACAATAAAGATTCATATATAAAAGAAACTTTAAAACATGTCTGTTGAATAAAAATTTTACATTGAGTCTAATATAAATAAGTATATGAATTAAATAAAAAAACATATTCTATCTATTGCAAACCTTGAGCCCACATGTATAATTTTTACATAACATCAACGTTCAAATTCAGAGCAAACTAGATGGCACAAAGAGTTAATCTGAAACCTTAATTAACCGCCCGTTAAGAAAACTTCAAAAAAACACCTTATCAACAACCTTTCTTTCTTTCAAATAACCTTCAAGCTAGAAAACTTTGAACAAAACTTCAGTCAATGCATACCCAGTTGTGAACTATATACTCAAGCCTCTTGGCGCGTGTCTCAGTTGATGCTTTTAAGCTCCCGTGGAGATTCTTATAGAACTTTAGGAACTCACTCTTGTACATCCACATAAGAGAATGAAAGTCATGACAGTAAGTAATAAATCGTGTAAACTTTAACTCATGGGAAGGATATGTGCTAGCATGTAGACTACTCGAAAAAAATTAATGTATAAAAGATGGGCTAAACGAACGACAATGCCAAGAAAACAATCGAGCAGGAGGTGAAATTGATTACTTAAAAACCGGAAGACATATTTGAATGCATAAACATAGAGAATCATGACTCCAATGACATCTTCAATAACACTAAACTTGAACACATATATATGACCAGACTTCCAATCCTTGCATGAATTAAAGATAAAATCGAATACCCAACATCATGAACAAATCCAAGCACCAAAATAGTTAATCACCACTAAATAAGAATAAAATCATCAAAATTCCATTACTAGTTCATAAAAAGCTCAGACAGAAACCAAAGAAAAATTCAACAACCATAAATTGGGTTGGCACAGAAACTAAAATTGATGCTGTTAACACTAAAAAATAGAAGAGGTGGTGTGGAACCAAGTATTTTATTGATCAAGAATGGAGAGAGCTTGCAATAGAGAGAGAATGAAGAAAAATAACCTGCCTCCTAAGTCTAACATTGGGGTATTTGTAGGATATTACATAAAGTCATCCTAGAATTACAATTCTACTTGGGTTGGCATTGGGTATTATAGTTCTGCTAGGATTTAGCCTATGTAATCTTGATAGAACTCTTTAAGATGTCTCCACGTGTTCTAATTCTCATAGGACTCAATTTAGGATATAATATTTGCCCTCCAACGAAGAAGTTTGAGTGTAGTGAAAACTTGCTTCAATTTATTCCATCATAGGTTTCATAATAGGTAGCTCTCTCTCATAAAGTTCGGTTGTACTTTGTTCTGAATTCTGCATAGGTTTTTCAAGTAAAACTTTGTGCACAACCCTTCACTTTCATAAGTGAAAACATAGTTTCAAACCTCTATTGATTACAAGTCTTTAGTCTTTACATTTCATAGATTCTAAAGGTTCATGGTAAAAGTTTTGTTTATAACACTGACTGTCTCATTAAAAACCTTAGCTAGTAAAAACCCTATGCGATAAAAATCTAGCTTAAGGGAAAAAGAGTATAGCACAGGTTTCCCCCCATACTCAAAGCTTTTGATATAGCTTTGATTAAAAATCTTATGAGAATTAAGTGTTTTATAAATCTTTTTCATTTTGCACAGGTTTTGAAATTTCTTTGTCTATCAATCTCTCTATAGCTTGTCTTTTCTTCTTTATTTTCTTTAAAATTCAATGTTAAGCGAATGTTTTTGTTCTTGTCCATGATTAGTGTGGATTTTCAAGATTTCTTCATTTGCTGAGGATGATGTTCTTTCTTCATATCTTGGGATGTTTCACTATAATTCCATTCTTTGTTGACTGTGTCATACTTTCATTCTCTTGAAGTTGCATAATTCATAGCTTCCTTTGGCCATTCATTTTAATTCTCCTGCATAGTTTTTCATTGACTCTTCTGTTGCAATTTCTTGATCTACATTCTTTTACTGCATAGGTCTTTGGAAAACTTATGGTTGTAGAGCTTTCTATTAACTAAGATCTTCCGTTTATTTCTTCTCATGTTTGCCCTTCAACAAATAGTTCAATAAATTGAGAACTATCTTCGTTATTCATGTTTTCCATTGAGGATTATAAGATCTAAAATATTCCCATCTCCCTAGCTTTTATTGTGTTGCTTATGTATCTATTTAACTTTTGACAGTTCTAGGTCTCCATCCTTTGTGTTAAAAGTTTTCATGTAAAGCTGTTATCGAGCCTCACAATAATCTCCTTCTTGATGTTGCTGAAATTAGATGTTTGATGAAAGGTTTTTAAATAATTAGCGCATGTTCTTATAGGCAGATCTCCAGTGAAGTAAAGGATGGATCGAGCAGCACTTGGGATGCAGAGGATTTTGCTATAGCTATTCACAATAGGGGTAGTTCTGTTGATGCAAGGATTTCTCAAGGTGCCCCTCGTTTTCTGAATGCTTAGCTTTTAACACCTCTTATTGAACCTACACGTAAGAACACTTATTTTTGGAAAACATTTGGGTTGCACTGTTTTTATGTTTCTCTATCTATTGTAGATGTTTTATTTTTGTTTTGTTATATTTGGATCTTTTTCTTCTTATATCTATATTCTTATTTTTAACACTTTACAGTGCATTGGTTTTATGTTTTAAGAACATCTACTTGCTGAACAGATGCTTTGTTTTTAACTCGAGTTTTAGTCATGCCTAACATTGTGACTTTTCACTAAAACTATACCAAAAGTTGTGTGTTTGGTTGGTTTACTAGCCTATTGATATTTTAAAGTTGAGTATAACCAAATTATAGTTTTTGAAATTGTGTGCGGCTTTCTATCAGTCTTATAAGTCATCATAGTTTCTTATGGTAAAGGTATCCTCATTCATTAAAGAGATTCATAATTTAACAATTAGTTAGTAAATGCTATGTTTTCCATTTTCTTGTATAAAAGATACGTTGAGATACAACTTTACACCCTAATCGATTACTATGAGTTTATGTTGCAAAGTCCCTCCTGTATCCGAGAATTGCATTAACCTTCATAGCCTCACTTGCGTAGCTTTTGCCCAAGTGCTTATAGACATCCTAACTTGCCCGTGGCTTTTAGTTTGCATAAGTATATTCTGATTAGTTTTTCTCTAAATTTTGAGTAAACTAACCTTATCCAGATTTTAGAGCTTTAAGAAAAGCTTCACAGTACCAACGATCTATTGGTCCGAGTAGAAGAAGCTCGATTCCCCTTAAGTAAGGTCTCGAGTTTGAGTCTTGTGAATGGAGAAACAAGCACTGAGAGAGCTTCTCCCCTAATGGGGTCCGACGCGGATTGATTCCAAATTAGTCAAGGTCCAAAGTGGTTATCGAATACTAAGAGGTCAATACAAAAAAAAAAAAAAAAAAAGCTTCACAGTTTTGCGCATCCATATTCTTTTTACCATGTCTAGTGTTTAAAGCTTTGGATCACTGAAAAGTGATGCTGAAGCTATATGTTGCATAAAAGCAAGTAAAGATATGTGCAACTAAGATCTTATGCTTAAAGTTGATCCACTTAGAAGTGGTTTTTAGTAATATAAAATAAATCTTTTCTTTTAAAGTGTGCAATATTTTAGATCCTTGGAACTAAAGTTCCATTGAGATGATTGGGCTTATCAGCTTCGTTTCCTAGATATCTTTGCAAAGGTACAAACCTTCTCAGTTTAGACATAGCTTCCCTTTTTTGGAATTTTTTCTAAACCCTTTGTCTTTTGCAATACCCAATCTCCTTATTACAAGTCTTTTGGGTTTCACTTTGCAATTGTAGCATCTTTTTATTCTCTTATGATAATTCACCATTTGCACTTGTGATAAATCTTTGGTCTCATAGCTTATTTATTCGTGCATTCATCATAATGGCTTGTCTTATGAGTTAGGATTTTGGTTTCCACAAGTATCACAGCTTTTATTCCATATGTCAAGTTGAATAGAGTTTCACCTATAGGTGTGTGATGAATAGTTCTATTAACCATAAGGTGTAGGATAATTCCTCCATCCACACACCTTTTGCTTTTCATACTTCCTCATTTAGACTTTCTAGTATAGCTTAGTTTGCTGCTATGCCATTAAAGTGCTCAATCTATTGAAGTGTTTTTCCTTCATTTTCAAGCTGTGTTTTGATCATGAACTTTTTCTTTCCAAATTCTGTGCTTGGTTAGAAGTCTCTAAAAACTTTGCTAGCAATTTGTGTTCCATTGTTCATTACAAGGATCTTTAGTATTCTAAACTTGTGTATAATGTGTATTCTCACAAATTCTTCAATTTTTTCTTTTACTGTCTTGGTCACAGCTTCTGGCTCATATACAAAGGACTTGACACATGGCGTGAACTTGTGCAAACCTCTATCATTTATCACATCTTTTAGCATATTCCTTTGCATCTATCTTCATTGATGACTAGAAATTTCCTTGGCAAAGGATGCATTTCCCTTCATTTGCTTCTTTCATCATGATCCTTGCCTCATTAGGCACTAAACATCTAAGCAATGGTTGTGTTTATGATCTTTTATAAAGGTTGATCATTGATGATTATGTACCATACAACTTTTTGTTTCATCTTTTATGCCTTTTCTTTATCTTTGGGCAAATCTCCATTGAACAAATATTTTATGATCCATCCAAGTTACTTCTCCTTCGATGTCTAAGATCTCTTCTTCTAATATTGAGAGGGAGCTCAATTCTTCGAAGTACAATTCTTTCCTTGATCTTGCGACTTCAAAACTAGTTGGACTTACTAACGCATTAGCTTTTCAATTCTTAGCTCTTCTCACATGGTAGAGTTTATATTCAATGATCGATTTCAAAAT